CCTAGGTTTGCCTGGTTGAAAAGGGACCCTGGTGGCTCTGGACAGCACCGCTGATCGGGCCATTAAAAGTCCGGTCTGTGGCTATGGCAGGCTTCCTGCCTGCCCTGACTCCGCGTGGCTCCTGGAAGTGGCTGCCATGTCTGGTTCCTAGGCTCAGGGGCGGCCAGGGAGGCTCTGTGTGCTGCCCCCGCCCTGAGTGCCAGCCGAGAACCATGTTCAATGGGAGCTGTGGGGGAGCGCTTGTGGGTGCGAGCAACATGCAGAGCCCCCGGCCCCTCCGCCTAGGAGCTGGACATGCCAGATGCTTCTGGGAGCCGCCTGAGGTAAGCGCCGCCCAGCCGGAGTCCGCTTCCCGAACCCCCTCTCGCACCCCAACTCCATGCCCCTGGTCGGAACCCCCTCCTGCACCCTAACTCCCTCCCAGAGCCCACACCCCCTCTCGCACCCCAACTCCCTGTCCCAGTCCTGAGGCCTCTCCCGCACCCAAACTCCCTCCTGGAGCACCCCACAGCCCCTCCTGCACCCCAAACCCCTTATCCCCAGACCAATCCCAGAGCCCACACCGCCCAGCCAGAGCCTGCACTCCCTCCCACACCACAGCCCTCTGCCTGTCCTGCCCAGTGAAAGTGAGTGAGGGTGAGGGAGAGCAAGTGACGGAGGGAGGGGGATGGAGTTCGTGGGGGGTGGGGCCTTGGAGAAAGAGTGGGGAAGAGGCAGGGCAGGGGGCAGGGCAAGGGTGTTCGGTTTTGTGCAATTAGGAAGTTGGCAATCCTATCAGGACCTCTCCCTTTCAAGCAGTGAGCGCACTCTGAATGACTAGTGGGGAGCAGGGCTTGTTCTCCCCAGCCATGCCATGGCTGGGACCCATGAAGGGCCCCCTTAGGCCATGTCTACACTACAAGCTTACAGCAGCACAGCTCTCCCATTGACATAATAAAACCAGCTCAATAAGCGACAGTAGCTATGTCAGTGGGAGAGTGTCTGTGCACACAAGCGCTTATGCCGGCAAAACTTATGTCACTCAGGGGGTATTTTTTTTCACATCCCTGAGTAACAAAAGTTTTGCCAACCTAAGTGCTAGTGTATACATGGCTTTATTCTCTGGCTCATAATTTCGTCCTGTTTTTTGAGAGCACAAGAATTGAATAGAGTAATTCAGTACACTACAGTAGAACCTCAGAGTTACAAACACCAGAATTATGAACTAACCAGTCAACCACATACCTCATTTGGAACCGGAAGTACACAATCAGGCAGCAGCAGAGATCAAAACAAAAAACCGAATACAGTACAGTACTGTGTTAAATGTAAACTACTACAAAAATAAAGGGAAAGCATCATTTTTCTTCTACATAGTAAAGTTTCAAAGCTGTATTAAGTCAATGTTCAGTTGTAAACTTTTGAAAGAACAACCATAACGTTTTGTTCAGAGTTACAAACATTTCAGAGTTACAAACAACCTCTATTCCTGAAGTGTTCATAACTCTGAGGTTCTCCTCTACTTGGTATGTGATATTTGACTATTTGAATGTTACATCCCCATATCCTGTCAGAGGTTTTTGAATACCTCAGATAATGTTCTAAGGGACAATTGGTAAGGAGAACACCCACTTCTATTATGCATAACAGTGATTTAGAACTGGTGATTTTCTGTGTTCCTTAATTAGCTAGTCCTCCCAAAGAAGCAAATGAACGGAAAAGAATGTCTGTGTATAGTGTCCAACACAAAGTAGGAAAATTAGTAATGTGCAGTGATACCACTAAAACAATGCTGCTTCATGAGCTAGCACTTCTTCAGAGTCACAATTTGGTTTGAGTATTCAAACATATCAGGGAAGTCATCCACTGCATTAGTAAGATCTAAAAACCCCTCGAAATGCAGGTATACAGAAACTAGTGTGACCATTTCAAATCTCTTCTCAGGGGCACCCAAATTTAGTTCCATCCTGCAGTTAACTTTGAGCTGATCTGGGGGCATAAGAAATTGAAGCTAAGTACAGCATTTTACAGCAGAAAGCATGCTGACAACCTTTAACACTGTTCCACAAACAAGGGCAAAGCCTTCTTCACTCAAAAGAAGAAAATCAAAGTATTTTCTTGAGACTTGTTTTGTTTGTATCCTTAGCACTTTCAAACAGCTGCCTCCAGTTATTTCATAATAATCGTCACCACTAGTTAAAAACCACACCGGCCTGCTCACTGAAATTAGAAAGTGAAGCTTTTTGGAAAGTATATGATTAAGCAAAAGCCTTTTATCGTTTTAAAGATGAATGCAAAGCATTTAAATTACACTCACTGAAAAAATAAGATAATGGCTTACTTGACTGTGATGGGAAATACAGAGATTTAATCTGAACACTGGATCAGGTCTGAGTGTCTAACTCCCTTTGGACACAATGTTATCACATTCATGCTTACATCATCACCCTCAGTATGATGCCGAATAATGTGGCCCCAAATTTAGATCCACAGATTGTAGCGAATACCAGTGTAACATGAGAAAAACAACAACGCTGGTCCCATTTTAGAATAAATTAAGTATTAAAAAGGCACGCACGTGTGTGTGTGTGTGTGTATGAAGCTATTTTCAGTCATTCAAATAACAGCCATCACTGTCATTCTTTGTGTGTTTTTCTGGAGTCGTGGTAGAGAGGAAAAGCAGCATAGTACATGCTCCAAGAGCAAGGCAGACCTCTCATAAAAAGAGTAGTGAGACTTCCCTCTTCTGTATCTAAAACACTCAGGCCTACAGTTTCCAATTTAAAAAGCTCAACACGTCTATTCATCATGCCATTTACAAAGTGGCATTATCTGTAAAACTCTTGCAACTTTGCTCCATAAAATGTGTCCTGTGATAACAGCAAATAATCCCTTTCTGGGTCAAGTTCATACTTTAAACACCAAGTCTGAGAAGCAGTTGTTTAGCTACACAATATTATATAATGTTAAGAATTCATCATATTTAAGTGTTTGCTGATCTTCAGAATTTAAAGCTAACCTATACACACACACACACACACACACATTTTTTCACTATCTGTACACTGTATAAATATTGACTGGGTCACGGGGTGCAAAAGCAATAGCAACAAACTATTGCCCAGAATTAAAATCATTCTTGCGATTGTCTGAAGCCCTAGACAATATGTTAAAATACACCAGGGATCATTTAATCCACTGGGAATATTTTTAATGTTGCTTTTGTCCTCTAACTCAGTAAATATTCATTTTAACCTTTTAAATGCTGTTTTAACCATTTACTGATTATGCATTTTTCTTTGAGCTGGCTTGAGATGGAAGTTAAAGAGACATCACAGAGCAGACATATAATGACACCAGAGGTATTTTCTGTGTGTGGAATTATGACAAGTCATGCTAGTTTGGAGGGAAAAGCCACATACTAATTTGGGTCAAATGCATACATAGAAACTGATTACAATCGTTCAAAAATCCAAAAGATTAATAACTCAATCTAGATACCGCATATGGCCACGATCCTGCAAAGACTTGCTTAACTTTGCCCATGTCAGAGACTATTTATCTGTGTAAAGTTAAGAACATGTGCAAGTGTTTGCAGGATTGAGGTCTACAGGACTGATCCTGCAGCAGTGAAGTCAATGGGAGTTTTACCACTAATTTCAGTGAGAGCAGGATCAAAACCTATGCGTCCCGGCATGTGTAAAAACATAAGAATTGCCAGACTGGAACAAAATGATGATCCATCTAGTATGGCATCCTGTTTCCAAGAGTGGCTTCAGAAGAAGGTTAAAATGTAGTTATACCCACATATACAGAACTCTATCTAGACAGTAATATTTTACATTGTATTTTTACATTTTAGAAACACTGGTATAGCGTGTCATGCCAACAAAGCCTCATTCAATTGAACTGAAATGGAGACGTGTCTGTATGGGGGAGATTTTGCTGGCTTGTTTTTTTTACAGATATTGATTTATATATATTACATCCACATCAGCTTTGGAAGATCCTATTTGCCCATTCACCCAATGCCAGATTTCCCCCCACCCCCAATCATAAAACTAAATTGTGGGTGAATAAATGTTGTGTCTGGGCTGGTGTATTTTTAAGGCCATCATGAATGGCTGGGGGATAGATGTACAGTACACACAGCACGCTGGGGACATCAGAAACATACATCAACGTAGTGGCAAATAAAGTTCCTTTGCAGGAAACAACAAGTTGTGATGGGCGTGCTGGAGGCTTTCCCTGCCTTCACTACTGACAGACATGTCATTTTGTATATATGCCAGTAAACACAGGAGACAGCAGGTTCCCATATGTCACACAAGTGCACTAGTAGCATCTGCTGCCCAGGCACTCTGCATTGGTGGCATCCCGTGCTCATGCCCCATTTATCCACACTGTCCACAGTAGTAGCACCAGAGTCTATGCCCCCTGGGCTGACAGCACCTGATGCTCACAAACCTGTGCCAATGGCCCTCAGTATCCATGCATTCTACATCTATAACACCCGGTACTCATGCCCCACACCAGTGGCACTCAGTACTCCCATCCCATATTGGTGACACCCTGTATGTCCCATACCCGTGGCACCCAATGTCTTATATCAGAGACACCCAGTACCCAATGTCCCATACCAGTGGCACCTAGTCCCCCAACATCCAACACTAGAGACACCCAGTACCCAATGTCCCATACCGGTGGCACCTAGTCCCCCAACATCCAACACCAGAGACACCCAGTACCCAATGTCCCATACCGGTGGCACCTAGTACCCAACCTCCAACACCAGTGGCACCCAGTGCCTCATACCTGTGGCTCCAAGTACCAAACTCCCGACACCAGTGGCGCCTGATGCTCACACACTCTGCATCTGTGGCACCCCATGCCCACACACCCCACACCGACCAGACCGGACCTGTGTCTCTGCCTCTGCCCCACTGGCACCAGGTGCCCACACAGGGGCACACAACCTGCAGGCGGCGCTGTGAGCTGGAAGGAGACAGGGTCTGACTTACCGCAATGAGGGCCGAGTTCCTCTGCCCCCCGTCGGCCGCTGAGCCCGGCTGCTGCTGCTGCTGCTCCCCGTTGATCCCACTCCTGCCCCCAGCAGCCCCGTTGCTGAGCAGCTGCGGGTGATAGTCCGGCGGCGCGGCAGAGGGAGCCGGGCCGGCGCTGCCCGCCCCCTTGCTGTGCTTGCCGCTCTTCCTGGCCCCCTGGCCGTGCTGCACCAGGTTCAGCAGCTGCAGGGTGCTCTCCCGCTCGCGGTCCGAGCTCTCCGCCCGGCCCCGCTCGTAGCGTCCCTCGCAGCTCTGGTGGTGCTGGCGGCAGACGGCGATGCGGGCTCGCAGCCGCTCCACGATGGCGCTGTGCACCCGGGGGGCCACCGAGCCCCCTCCCAGGAGACCGGCCCCGAGATCCGGGGCCTGGGGGGGAGCCGTGTCCCCCATCCTGCCGGCCACGCTGCTGCTCGCTGCTCCGGCTGGGTAGCGCCTGCGATGCTGCCCCTGACAACGCTGAGCTCTGTTCTCACTGCCACATGGATGGGGACGGGGACGGGGAGGGAGGGATGGGCTGGCTGGGGGGAGAAGGGATCCCGACCCCGGGCCAGGCAGTCCCCAAATCTCGATCAGCCTCCCCCACCCCCACCCCTTAGCAATCGGGCTTGACCTCTCCGGAGGAGTTTGCCAGCGCTGGGGTGGGGGCGGGATGGGATTGACCCGCGATCGCTAGGTATTTGCCAACATAGAATTAAAGATGATGGGAGGTTTGCGTCCCAAGACTGCAGATAACCATTTGAAGGAGGGAGATAAAAACAAATTAGCACAAGGGGGAGGGTGAAGGGCTCATGGATGCACACAGCAAAAATCCCGGGGGGGGGGGAAGAGACCTTTCTAAAGCGGAATAATAATAAAACAAATCAAACCACCAACCCACTGCCTTAAAAAAAACCAGTCCCCCAGACGGAGTGATTCTCCCTCCCAAATGAGTGAAACTTGGCGGCTTTATTTATTTAATTTTGGGGAGGAGGGAGAGATTCTTTAAGGGGAAATTTCTCCAGAGGAAGAAATTGCAGTGATGGGGCGCAGGAACTCAAAGACTTTCCCTTGTTTTGGTTTGTTTTAATTTGGTCGAGAGGATTTTTTTTTATAAGCCTTCAATAAACGTGCAGATAAAGGGGCGGGAGGAGGAGGAGGTTCAGATGAGTTAAGTCTTTGTGTTTTCTCGTCTCTCTCTTTGCTCTCCAGTCTTCGTGTTTTATTACTGTCTCCAACTGTCTGCTGCTAATATTGTAGCTCCTCTAAAAATAAAAGAGATGGATCCCCAGTTGGTAACAATGTCAGTAACTGGACGTTCAGACCATGCTTTGCTTTCCATTAATCCAGCCACTGTGTAAAATCCGTATTAAGTGTTTATACCCACCCCCGACCCCCCAAGCAATAAAAGCAAACTAAGAACGCAGGCAAATATCACCTTTAGCATATTTTCCCTTATACTCCACTTCTCACTCCCCCCGATATTTCAGTTCCAAGTACAATATCAAGAAAAGCACGAGAAAACACACACACACACAGAGAGAGAGAGAGATCGCTCTTCAGAGCAATTACAAATGATAGTGAAACTTACAAACTTCCAGCATTTCGCACCCAGAGTAGTCCACTGGTTTTCCTTTGTGTTTTTGCATATTCCACCCCCCAAACAGTGGGGCTAGGTGTTTGTGGTGCAATTATCAGCGATGACTCTGTTGGATTCCCCCACTTGATAAGTGAAAAGTACCTTGTAATATCCCTTTCTCTTTCTTGTCTGTTGTTAGCTGCTTTGCTGATACTGGCTCACTGCACGGGGGTTACGGGTACACACAGGCTTTCATTGTGCTCGGATAAGGCAGAGCGGCGGCGGCGGAGAAAGCGTCTTGGGAAGCCCTAGTGGAAGGACGGTGTCACTGCAGGAAGAAGTAATAGCCACAGAGAAGAGGCAAAAGAGAAACACGAAGCCTCCAAGCGGCAGAGGAGATGAATGAAGAGAGAAGCAAATTATGAACTATGATCCCAGTGATTTATTTGCATGGATGGAAGCCAAGGAAATCCCCCTTTCCATCCCCAGGTTTATGTGCTACCTCTTCCCTGGCTCTGAAGGTTCAATAACTTCCCTTATTCCTAGGGAATGCATTTCCCTCCTTCTGTATATATAGCTCTTTGTATTGCCTAATCATCCACTAATTATATTAGGGCACCCTGCTTACCCTCCTGCCCCAGCATCAAGCCCTTTGTGCAATTACTAGGAGTTTCACAGGTAAATCACAGCTATGAACTCTCTTAGCAGCTGCATTTCTCTGCAGTATAAGTGGAAAAACAAAAGTAGTCATTCTTGTGCAATGCTGTGTGTACATATCTGAGCAGACCAAGGGTCTTTGTGGTCAAGGCTGGGAGTCAGGAGCTTTGGGTTCAGTTCCCAGCTCTAACACAGACTTCCTGTGTGTGCTTGGGCAACTCATGTAGGCCCAGGTCTTTACATGCCTAACTCCCATTCAAATAAATAGGAGTCAGGTGCCTAAATATCTTTAATGATCTGGGCTCTAATCTCTGTGTTTCAATCCCCCTCTGTAAAATGAACACAATAATACTTCTTTTGTCTGCCTTCTCCATAGGATCTTTGGGGCAGGGACTGCTTCTCATGATTGTGATTGTACAGCGCCTAGCACAATGGGGGCCCCCATTCTCATTTGGTATGACTGGAATAGTAATAATGTGGATGTGTCATAGTGACACACTAGAGATGCTTGATTAAAGGTGAAAATGCACTCTCATTTATGAGCCTTCATTTTCAGGTGCTTATCACTTTCCACACACACAAAAATCCTTTTTACTTAAATTTAGAAGTAATGAAGCAAAAGGATTCTAAAAATCACCTAAAACATACATGCATATAACATACATATATACATATGCAAGTAAATCCAGCCATGCTTATTTCACTGTGATCCTGGACACGTGATATCAGCCAAGAAACTGCACATTCAAATAACCACTCATAGGGGGTTCTCAGTGGTTGTTGTGCCTGAGAGAACTGCTGGACTGGTCCCACAGCACAGTCAACATGCTGGGCCAAACCTCACTGCCCTGTTCTTTTTGATCTAATAGAACCCAGTTCTTTGATTTTAAGGCATGCTGCAAGCCCTGTCTGGCATCCCAGGCATTTGAAGGAGCTGAATTAAGAAGAGGGAAGTGTGGCTAAGGTGGAGAGGGGATTTTTGTTTAGCCCTGAATGGCTGAATGAATGTGGAAGAATTTATTGGTATTTATTTGATATATTTAAAAGAAAATAGCATTCATATGCCTAAAGCGAACATTTTGAAAAACCTAAATTGCTTAAGAGTTGCACTGACTGCAATGGGACTGAAGAATATGCTGAAAGTTAACCATCTGTTAAAGTGCTTTACTGAATTGGGGCCTTGAATTTTGAGCCATTTCAGCAATTAGTTTTTCAGTGATGCTTCTTGTCTCTAATTAAAATGACTGCAGTTTGTAAACCTTTTGGCTCCCATTTAGTTTTCCCATCTAAATATACTGTTTGAACACATTCTGTAGCCTTTGTGGGATCATTTAACTTAACAAGTTCAAGGAGTGCTATGTTCAGCCTGTGTCCATTTTTTCTTGTGGACAACTACAGTGCCCTTATTATGGACCAGGTTCATGTGCTTACATTTTGCATACATTGCAAAACAGACCTCTTAAATATAAAACCCATTTTTGAGATATAAAAAACTAATAAAAACCCAGCAGAGTCCTTAAGAGTTAGTCCTGTGTACATATTATTTCACAAATATCACATTTTCAATTTTAGATCACATTCATGTATTGCCCAGAGTAACACTGAATATATATAAAACATCCAGGTTAATGGAAATGAACAACAAGGTGTGGTATCCTATCAGTTGTCTGCAATGCTATTTAAGAGAAGTAAAAAGAAAACATGATCATTCTAACATTTGCTACATCATATATTTTCTTAAGCTCTTTGGTCCTGACCTCTGGACTCAAATTATAAATGTACATTTCTCATTTAAAAAAAAAATCAACAAGATGTAATCAGTAATTCAAATTTATAGAACGTGTTTACTGTCTGCAAGATATTTACCATATTTACGTGTATTTATCTAACGCACCCACACTGTTTATCCACAATGACTAAAAGAAGGTTAGAGCTGAAGGCCTTTATTTATTCAAATAAAAATAAACTAGCTAAGTTAAATATGGGAATACATGTAATTGCCTTCTGATATGCTAGAAATTTACTTTCTCACACCAGATGCTCATTGTCCATTCTGGCCTTAAAAATCTAGGAATTTACCGACACTATATACACCAGTCTTTGAAATGAGGTGGTCACAAAGAGCACCTACGCAATCCCCTCTTTCACAAATTTCAGCACAACACTAATGCCCAGTTCCCAAGAAGCTATTCTGCTCCAAGAACTGACTCCAGTTAGAGAGACTTAGGCAGAGAGCACATACTGTTCTGCTTGCAGCAACTCCTCCCAAAATATTTTGCATCACAAAACTAACACAGAACTTCTTTAAAGACTCAAAGGTGCTCATATTAAGAAAATACAGTAACTCCTCATTTAACGTCCTCCTGCTTAACATGGTTTCAAAGTTATGTCGCTGCTCAATTGGGGAACATGCTCATTTAAAGTTGTGCAATGCTCCCTTATAACGTCGCTTGACTGCCTGCTCTGTCCACTGCTTGTAAGATTTTGTGGAAAAGCAGCGACTTTACAAGGGAACACTGCATGAGTTCCTCTTCTCCGCCTGCTCCCCCTCCCTCCCAGCACTTCCCCCACCGCCAAACAGCTGTTTGGCGATGCTTAGGACTTTCTGGGAGGGAAGAGAAAAAGCGGGGAAGCACCGCATCTCCACTCCTCACACTCCTGCCCAGAAAGTCCTAAGCGCAAAGCGCTGGGAGGGCGGGAGAGGAGCGGGGATGCAGAGTGGCGTGCTCCAGAGAGGAGGTGGAGTGAGGGTGGGAAGAGGTGGGCCTGGAATGGAATGGGGATGGAAAGAGATGGGCCTGGAGCATCCCCTGGCAAAGTTGGTGCCTGTTCTTCTCCAGGAAAGCTGCCACTGCTGCTGTGAAGGTGCTTCCTAGTGCCCTTGCCTGCAGTGGACTGTGCCTGTGTGGGGTAAGCCAGGGGCACTTCCCAACTACAGTACAGTACTGTACAGTATATAATGCCTTTTGTCTGCCCAAAAAAACCTTTCCTTGGAACCTAATCCCCCGCATTTACATTACATTTTATGGGAAAATTGGATTAGTTTAACATCGTTTCACTTAAAGTTGCATTTTTCAGGAATAGATCTACGTTAAGTGAGGAGTTTACTGTAACTTGTAAGATGACTGTGTGTGACAGCCCCATCTGGTGACTCCTGCCATAACAATTAAGTACAGACACTACTTTATTTTCTTAAATAACAAGGAAATTAAATGTAAAAAACAATATTAATGCAAAATTTAGGTCACAAATTTAAATGCAAACATTTTAAGAAATGAGAAAGTTAAGCTTCTCTTATTGTTAACTCTCCCACATTGCACACACTGCATAGTCAGATGGTTAATAGAATAGGATTTAAAATATATATTCTCAGTATATGCAAATTAATATTACTTTACAGAGCATGTTTAAATTTTGTTGACTTCTATTCACTTATATCCCTTATCATTACATTAATATAGTCTTTTGAATTTTGTAGTGTTCAGTTTAATTTAAGTAATATTAAATCAGAAATCTAGAATTTTATTTAATGGAATAATGTAGTGGAATCAAGATTTCACATTATTTTAAGAGGTACCATAAGTTCCTCTTCACTCTGCAAAAGGTAACCTATGTAATAATGGGAGATGGGGTTAGTTGGGAAAGGCTGCTAAGCAGCATACGTCTCACCCACTTCAGACAAATGTGTTTGGGGCTCTCTGGGAATTCTAGCTGGCCACAGAGGCAGAGCTGAGAAGGAACTGTTTATTCTATGTGGCAATGCTGCACTACAAGTCCCCATGTAACCCTTTGGAGCGAATGCATGTAGCGTTCTGAAATACCTCTTTGGCCACAATTCCCACCAGCTTCTTCCTTTCCAGATACCACAATGTTACCGGAAAAACCCATTCACAGCCTTAATTGCATTGTCTTACCTTTGACAAGAATATCCTGGTCTAAATCCTAGGAATTAAGGCCAGGCTTTTTGGAAATTGGGGAAAGCCCTCTCACCCCCCCATAACTGCTTAAACAGTGTTCTGTTGCGAAGTACGTGTCACTGCTCTGTGCACATGTAACAAGTAATGGCTAATGTCACTGCAGCTACTGATCTGCCCTCACCCTAATGCCTTGCTCTGCTCGTTTTTGCTCATATGGGGGAAGACTGAAAGGGCCAAATTCAGAAGCGATGCACAAGAGCTGGAATATACAAGTCAGTAAATGGGGATGTGCCTAAGCTGGTACAATCCACATGAACCAGTAAAAAGTGTAATTACAGTCAGATGTCTCAGTTTTGCCACCTGATCTGTCAGTCTTCTTGCAGCAGATTCCCCGGTGCAAGTACATTTTTGGCCTTTCCTTGCTGTGTGGTGGGTTTCTTGCCAGAGTGATAATCAATTTGTTCCTGTACTGCTTCTACAGTGAGGTGAATATTTTTTCTATTGTGGACAAAAGAAACTATTTTTTTAATTAACCCCTTTTTATTTTGGGTGGGAAAAATATGAAGTATATTAAAAAATAGTACAAAGCAATCATTAACGTTATATGGTTTCTAGCCATCAGAGGAGCAGGCACATACCTAAAAGAGGACTCTTAACTTACTCTACATTAAATACTGGTTATTAATAATTCTTTTTCTTGCATGAATGAGAAAGAAATGGTGGGAAAAGGTGCAAAGCACATTCATTTTTATTAAAATGCATCCCCTATTTTGTCAGTGCAGCTTATAGAATCATAGAATATCAGGGTTGGAAGGGACCTCAGGAGGTCATCTAGTCCAACCCCCTGCTCAAAGCAGGACCAATTCCCAACTAAATCATCCCAGCCAGGGCTTTGTCAAGCCGGGTCTTAAAAACCTCCAAGGAAGGAGATTCCACCACCTCCCTAGGTAACGCATTCCAGTGCTTCACCACCCTCCTAGTGAAATAGTGTTTCCTAATATCCAACCTAGACCTCCCCCACTGCAACTTGAGACCATTGCTCCTTGTTCTGTCATCTGCCACCACTAAGAACAGCCGAGCTCCATCCTCTTTGGAACCCCCTTTCAGGTAGTTGAAAGCAGCTATCAAATCCCCCCTCATTCTTCTCTTCTGGAGATTAAACAATCCCAGTTCCCTCAGCCTCTCCTCATAAGTCATCTGCTCCAGACCCCTAATCATTTTTGTTGCCCTCTGCTGGACTCTTCCCAATTTTTCCACATCCTTCTTGTAGTGAGGGGCCCAAAATGGACACAGTACTCCAGATGAGGCCTCACCAATGTCGAATAAAGGGGAACGATCACGTTCCTCGATCTGCTGGCAATGCCCCTACTTATACAGCCCAAAATGCCGTTAGCCTTCTTGGCAACAAGAGCACACTGTTGACTGAAAAGGTGACAATAGACATCTTCCATTATGCAGTACAAAATTACATCCGTTTCCAAACCGCTTTCCTCAGTTGTACTTTTTAACAAAGATGTGCTCAAGGCTTCTAGACATGAACAGTGTAAACTTAAGCATGGTAAATGTTAGAGAGATACAGAAGCCCTCTTGAATGCTAACAAAATATGAGCTGGAAAAATCAGTCACTGCCCACTTTTGCAAAGGAGGTTAAACATAGACTTCTTGTTGCAGAACTGTATTCATCTGCAACGATGAAGAGTATTCGAAATGTCAAAAAAAAAAAAGTTGCATGGAAGGAAAAGTAGTATGTAACAATAAAGTGGTATTGTGTAATAATTTCACCCTCAAGTGTTAACTATGAATGCCTGGGGCACAATCATAACTGGTGCATGGTGTGCATTTGACAAGGTGGTGTGTAATGTGGTACACTGGTTTTGTTTTTCTGGTGCACTGTAGAAGAGGCCTGGTCTTCCTAAAAAGTGATGTGATCAGGGCCAAGTCTAGTAGGATTTTCCCCAAGAGCCTGATCCAAAATCCATTAAAGAATATAGGTGTCTCTCCCTTGACTCTGACAGGCTTTGCATCAGGCCCCAAATAGCAATGGGAAAAAAAGGGGGGAGGGAAGCAAGTCTTCACTGCAGAAAGCAGAGCTAACTCATACCTTTGCCGGTAATCTGGAGGGTGATTAATGTATTGACAGATTTGGCATACACATTTTATTCTGACAATATGCAGTTAGTAGCGTGAAGACACACTGGGATCTATGTAATTGAAGTCTATGGATGCTGGGATACTGCCTGTGAGTAGATCATGTACTTAATATGGATTCATTTTACTGTGTTGATTTAAAAAAAATAATTTTAACCTCAGACTATCCTTGCAACATGCTCAGCAATAAAACCACCATTCCCAGGGTGACAAGCATGCATGACTACAGGAGTATTATAATACTGAATACACAGCACTGTTAGACAGTAGGTTCTCGTCATAGGTATGATCAGACTACACCCCAAGAATAACATTCACTTTAATATCTGCTCCTATGTAGGGTTTAAACAAATGACTCAACAACAAAAACCGTCCTTCATTTTCCCAGGAGGCAAGAAGAGTTTGAAGTAGTTATCCTCTTCCACAACTCAAGCAAAAAAGAGCAGCATTTACTTTTCCCCTGGTCACTAGGCTCTCTGCTCCCCAACTCCAACTGCCTGCTTTCTTTTATGTGCAGCAAGTGGGCCAAGGGGTTAATGTACACATCACTAAACTCCTCCTACATCTCTGAAGACCCAGGAGACAGAAAGTTGGGTTAGGGCTTTATATGTCCCAGAGAGGTATGACTCCCCACCACACATAACACAAACAAGGTTTTGCACACCTTCCCACCTGTCAGCCAGGCGATTACTGTTATTAGTAAGTTTTGCAGGAATTATCCACCTATCTTCCAGTACATGGCAGTAGCTATTGTGCCGTCTGTACTACATATAGACATCTTTCACATCAGCCGCTATGGCCATATGCAAATTGCAGTATTCTAGGTGTCCAGGGATGAGAAATGAAGGTGGTTTTGATACTGGATTAATGAATGAATGTGTCTGGTTATGTTTCATTCTCACTATAACCATGCTAACTGGTTAATGCTCATATTTCAAGTTTACAGGGATGTGATGGGATGTAATTTATACTTTCTATTGAAGTATTGCTACTCCCAAAAGGGTTAATTGGGGCTTACCATCTCTCACATCTCTGCATTGAGCCGGGCATCAATATACAGAAGTTTTATTTCATGAATACATAGGTACTTGGACACTAGTCTTTTTAACCACAAAGGAAAGTTCAAGTGACCTATGCATAACAGAAGGTTGCTTACTTCATAAAACATCTTTAAATCACTATTTTGACATTTAAAATTAAGGGGTATAAAAGAATATGCTGCTTTTTCTTTTTATATGTATGGCAATTTACAGGCACAGCTGAAGATTTAAATACAATGCAGCATAAGAAAACATCTTGAAAAGCCTTTGGAGATATTTTTGTGGACAGGTGGATACCATAGCTAGTTAGAGATTTTTACAAAGCTTCTTTCAAAGAGATGCATGACCACTCAGTCCATTTTCTCTTCTTGGAAGTAATCTGCATCATTCATATATTCTTCCAGATAATCATATCTCTGCATATAAAATAAAAACCATGTCAATTCATCAAGGACAGCAACTGAATGAAGCAAATACATTTCTTGTTGTGCCAAACTTAATTCATAAACAAGAGCAGCAGCACTGATTCAGAAGCGGAGAGAACCAAAGCCTAATTTGGTAAGCCTGGCTCTACTCGGGTAATTTGTCCTATAGTGTTTCATGAAGCTTTAAGAAATCAAAATAATGAAGGAAAACTGATCCTGATACAGAAACACTGTGGAGGCTTACCCATGAAATACATCGTACTATCTAGGTGTACTTGCATCAATTATGCAACTTTTATTTTTATTTTTTAGCTTTTAACTAAGACCCCGGTATTGTATCAGGTAGCACAGTGTTTCTCAAACTGGGGTCGCCGCTTGTGTAGGGAAAGCCCCTGGCGGGCCGGGCTGGTTTGTTTACCTGCCCCGTCTGCAGGTCCGGCTGATCGCGGCTTCCACTGGCCGCGGTTCGCCGCTCCAGGCCAATGGGAGCTGCTGGAAGCGGTGCAGGCCGAGGGACTTACTGGCCGCCGCTTCCAGCAGCCCCCATTGGCCTGCAGCGGCGAACTGCGGCCAGTGGGAGCCGCGATCGGCCGGACCTGTGGAAGGGGCAGGTAAACAAACCGGCCCGGCCCGCCAGGGGCTTTCCCTACACAAGTGGTGACCCCAGTTTGAGAAACACTGATGTAGCACATGGACTGACTACTGCAGCAGCACATAATAAAATAAATACAAGAATAAAAATAAATTAATGTGTTACTAATAATGTTACATCGTGCATTTTTTATGACATTAATATGGGTTTATTTTGCCAAAAATATTAATGCTTTAAAAACTCATTTTAAAAGGGCCCTACTATTTCCATTGGAAGTTGTCTGTTTAAACAGACAAGCAAAAATGGGTCCATTCCAAAAGAGAGGTGGCCTGAAACTCACATTTTTGAATGGAGGAGAATAAATGGCCAAAGAAGCTGAATTTGCTTGGAAGTATGAATTTGAAATCCAGTGGAGGAAAGTCTATCAGACAAGTATATAAGCTGGAAGTATTTTAAATGGCCTAAGCAAAGCCCTCCTTTATCTTTGATTTACACTCCTTTGGGTCAAGTTCCTGGGCCTTTCCCAATAGTCAAACTCACACATTGTCACTATTAATAAAAGTTCTACAGGCCAAATTCCATTCTCAGTTACACTTGTGTAACACTGTTGCCTTCATATTATGCTTTGAATTACACCTGTGCAAACTCAATCTTTAACTGTAATTGGAACCAAATAAATTATTTTGCTGGTGCTGTGGAATAGAATCCAGCTCCCCCATCTTACCTGTCCAGCAGTGCTAAAAAGAGTAAAAATCAGTAAGGTACTTGCTTACTTTTGTGACTAAAATCAGACTGATTATTTGCAAGGAGCAACTTTGTTCTGTAAATAGGTACTATTTTTGAGTCACTTTTCAGAGCAGAACTGCATTTTATGGAAAGTTATTACAAGTCTTGCATGGCTGATGTCTACCCTTTACCATCTTGAATGAACTACAGTAGACCACAAACGCACAACTTCTTACAACTTATTGCTTAGTTAAAACATGGACATTTTATTTAGCATTGCTGTCACTACCTCCTTTGATACAAAGGAATTAACTCAATGACAGATTCCATCATACCTCCTGAATCCAGCCACTCTCTTCCAATTGACTGAAAAGCCTGTCGACTGTGTCTTTGACTGGCTCATCCTGAATGCCCTCCACCTCTGTAACTGAACAGCAGCGCTGATACAACTTGAATTTAAAATGTTTCAGATTATGATAAACCCTTGTACGATTTGCACACACGCTGCCAACCTTCAAAACCTATATAAAAAAAGTGAACAAACTTGGTTATCTAAGATAAATTAACATGAAGCAATGATCATCTTGACAATAAAATGCATGGCTAAATCAGTTTGGTATTTTGAAATAATGAACTAAACAGCCTTTGATACTATATGATTTACTCTATTTAATAAGCAATGTAGTCCCCACATTCTTTGCGCCCTAACCATGCAGGGGCAATAACTGGTGATTCTGTGCAACTGCAGTTCCATCTGCCCCTGTTCCTCAAGAACCACTATGCACAGCTGTGCAGGAAAAGTGAAATGCTACCAGTAGATCCACCTGAGCAACTCTTACAAAATCCCCTGATGTTTGGAGGAAAACTGATTAAATCCTTTCTCATTTATACTTACTACCTGCTGGAGTCATAAGATGTAGCCACTTCAACATTCATGGAATTAAAGTGTATGAAATAAAGTCTGGATTTATTAAGAATAAAAGCTCAAAAGCCTAAAAAGCAAAAGCTATATCAGGGTCACACTAAGGATGCACAACCATTTTGAACATTCAAGAAATTAAAAAAAAAAATCTCCAGAGATGCACCAAATCCATATACATGCATGTTAACTTTTTCCTCTTGCTAAAGCCTATAGAAGAGTTCGACAAAATACTGGCTTTAAATATTAAATATAACCACAAAATACACAGTGCATGTATTGTGGCTAAGTTAGCAGCACTGTGGGAACCTAAACCCTTGTATTCCACACTCATCACTATTTTACACCTGGGAAGCCTCCGTGGTGCAAATATATAGATGTTGCATTTGATGGCCTTGTATATTTAACAGTATGTGACTCATAGTGATATTTACAAATAGGCAAATGGTAAGTATACATGCATATACACAGACTGTTATACAGGTTTTAGCTGTAGTAATAATACATACAGGCAAGTGCACAGATACCTATTAAGTAGTTGGAACAGATTTTATGCAAAGCTGGTATTGATGAAGAATGATTATGTTCAGGTAAACACATAGGTGTTATTAAGAATGAGTGAAATTCACCATGAGACCTTCTGCATCCTTAAATCCACGTTGAGACCATGAGGGGAAGTTATGGGTGGAGTAGCAGTTCAGGTGTGCTTATGCCCCCCTTAGATTCCACAGAAGGGAGCTTCATGCTAGTTCCACATAGGTGGGTGTTTTGAGTGGCTATAGGGTCACATCAGAAGAGGGATTTATCCAGTATAAGTGGCACAGAAGGGCAGGGATCGATACTTTAGCCTATAGGTTGGAGTAAAGCCTCTGGGAACAAAAAAACAAACAAAAACAAAAAAAAAGCCCACAGCTGCATCTGGCCTGGGTTTTTTGTGGATTTTACCTTCCCAGCCCAGTTGCACTTCTCCTGCACACAGCTCGGGTAACTCGGGCTTTATGCAAGAGAAATGGATTTCACTTTATGGCAGTGGTTCTCAGCCAGGGATGTGTGTACCCCTAGGGGTACGCAGAGGTCTTCCAGGAGGTACATCAACTCATCTAGATATTTGCCTAGTTTTAAAATAGACTACATAAAAAGCACTAGCTAAATCAGTACACACTACAATTTCATAAAAAGAACAGGAGTACTTGTGGCACCTTAGAGACTAACAAATTTATTAGAGCATAAGCTTTCGTGGGCTACAACCCACTTCTTCGGATGCATATAGAGTGAAACATATTGAGGAGATATATATACAGACATACAGAGAGCATGAACAGGTGGGAGTTGTCTTACCAACTCTGAGAGGCCAATTAAATAAGAGAAAAAAAACTTTTGAAGTGATAATCAAGATAACTCAGTACAGACAGTTTGATAAGAAGCAAGTGTGAAAATACTTACAAGGGGAGATAGATTCAATGTTTGTAATGGCTCAGCCATTCCCAATCTTTATTTAATCCTGAGTTGATTGTGTCTAGTTTGCATATCAATTCCAGCTCAGCAGTCTCTCGTTGGAGTCTGTTTTTGAAGTTTTCCTGTTTTAAGATAGCCACCCACAGGTCTGTCATAGAATGGCCAGACAGGTTAAAGTGTTCTCCCACTGGTTTTTGAGTATTAAGATTCCTGATGTCAGATTTGTGTCCATTAATTCTTTTGCGTAGAGACTGTCCGGTTTGGCCAATGTACATGGCAGAGGGGCATTGCTGGCACATGATGGCATATATCACATTGGTAGATGTGCAGGTGAACGAGCCCCTGATGGTATGGCTGATGTGATTAGGCCCTATGATGATGTCACTTGAATAGATATGTGGACAGAGTTGGCATGGGGCTTTGTTACAAGGATAGGTTCCTGGGTCAGTGTTTTTGTTCAGTGACGTGTGGTTGCTGGTGAGTATTTGCTTTAGGTTGGGGGGTTGTCTGTAAGCGAGGACAGGTCTGCCATGTACATTGGCCAAACCGGACAGTCTCTACGCAAAAGAATTAATGGACACAAATCTGACATCAGGAATCATAATACTCAAAAACCAGTGGGAGAACACTTTAACCTGTCTGGCCATTCTATGACAGACCTGCGGGTGGCTATCTTAAAACAGAAAAACTTCAAAAATAGACTCCAAACGAGAGACTGCTGAGCTGGAATTGATATGCAAACTAGACACAATCAACTCAGGATTAAATAAAGATTGGGAATGGCTGAGCCATTACAAACATTGAATCTATCTCCCCTTGTAAGTATTTTCACACTTGCTTCTTATCAAACTGTCTGTACTGAGTTATCTTGATTATCACTTCAAAAGTTTTTTTTCTCTTACTTAATTGGCCTCTCAGAGTTGGTAAGACAACTCCCACCTGTTCATGCTCTCTGTATGTGTGTATATATATCTCCTCAATATATGTTTCACTCTATATGCATCCAAAGAAGTGGGTTGTAGCCCACGAAAGCTTATGCTCTAATAAATTTGTTAGTCTCTAAGGTGCCACAAGTACTCCTGTTCTTTTTGCGGATACAGACTAACACGGCTGCTACTCTGAAACCTACAATTTCATAAAATGACTTGTTTATACTGCTCTATACGCTGAAATGCAAGTACAATATTTATATTCCAATTGATTTATTTTATAATTATATTGTAAAAAATGAGAAAGCAAGCAATTTTTCAGTAATAGTGTGCTGTGATACTTGTATTTTTAATGCCTGATTTTGTAAGCAAGTAGATTTTAAGTGAGGTGTAACTTGGGGGTACACAAGACAAATCAGATCCTGAAAGGGGTACAGTAGTCTGGAAAGGTTGAGAGCAACTGCTTTATGGTATACTAATAAGAGATTGACATCTTTCCAGTGCAGTACAGTATTGTTTTAGCTTGAGGTTATTTTTCTGTTTCTTGTGTGCAACATGTACCTAACTGGCTAAGGCCTCAAAGTAGAGTGTTTAATTCAAGCTGTGGGATTCGTGATCTCAGATTGCATGTATTTTTTTATAGCCATATTATAACTGCAGGATTTTCTCTTCTGAGTCATAAAGCGATGATACATTTCATTGTTATTGTTAATATTCTGAATATTTTTGTGTTGGCTTAAGTGGTTGCTTACGGTCTTTTAAACCTTAAGCAGGCTACGTTTTATACAAAGTCTACATCCTAGCTTTTCTGTAAGCATTTCGGTATGTGTCACTAAATGTTTACCTATGTGAGTGGTCCCAGCTACTTGACCTCATTCTCCACAGCAGAGGTTGGTACTTGCTGTATTTATTTTGTTGGTAATTACTAGATATATAGTAGAAATTTAGGACTAATTTTCAATGGAATTTTCTGTAATGCCGGTCATTAAAAATACAGGGCCAGATCTTCAGGTGATGTGAATGAGCATAACTTCAGTGGAAACACATCATTTTAGGATTTGTCCCATATGCAGTGATTGCAAGTACACTGGCTTGAGGTCCAGGATTTGCTATGGCTGTGATTCTGCAACTGACTGCATGTGAGCAGACTGCTGCATCCACATGGAGACCCACTGTTCACCCACCCACAACAAACTGCAGGATTAGGACTGGTGTTTGAGTCCCAGTGGTACTGCAAGAGTTCAAGTCCAGAAACAGTTGTAAAGTTTGAGGGCTTCAACCTTTATGCCTCGAAGAATGCTGTAAAAATCACTGGAAACCTGGGGAATCCAGCTTCACTTGCTGCACCATCCCAGAATGCCCAACAATTAAGAGCTGGATTATGGATATTTATGGGGCATTTGAGAATAATGTGTGTATTCACTATATTCACTATCTACCTTGTTGAATTCAGCATATTATTTTTGTATTAACTAATTCAAAATCCTTTAATTTTTTCATTGTACGTTGAAGTTTCCCCAATATGGTACAATTTTAATATTACAATCTACACTTTATCTCTGAAAACATTTCACTTTTTTTAAGCAAGAAAGATTTTGTTAAAGTTACCAAAAGCTTCTTTAGAACTCAGCCTTGGAAAAAGTCTATATAGTGCATTCATTCTAATGTTAATTTCAGAGATCTCACTGACTTTTTCCTAATGCTTAATTTATCTGTGTTGGGTGGCTCTACTAGCCAAACTTGTTATGCCAGTTGATGTGGAATGCACAGAGTGACTTGACCACAGAGGAGAATGAGAAAAGACACACCACAACTGTCATGTTTACTCTTAATATAAACAATGTTACTACCAAGTTGGCAAGCAGAAGACATGGTCCAGATAATAGGGCACGTGGCAGCAAAGCAAAGCACTAACATCTATAATGCTAAACTAGATGTGACATCTTGGCCTAACCAAGGAGGGGGTAGGAAAGAAAAAGAAGGCTATGCACAAAAACCAAAAATAGTCACTGGAAACCTAAATAAAATAGCAACCACACCCACTGCCAATAGGTATGAAAAGAAAAAATCCAGAGATCAGAGAAAAAGAAAACTGTACTTGTTACAAATAAAGGGGGTGTATTGAGGTGCAGAAGAAAGGATTGAAGTGAAGTTTTCATCCTCTCTCTCGGGTGCTTTTATATAGTTTAAAAAAAAAAAAAAGCCAAATTACATAATACCATTCATTCTGATCCACTGAGGCTGCACTGACTTTTCCTTCAGTCAGTTATTTTCCTGATGTGCCAGTTTAGCATTGCGCTGTCCTCTTGCAGTTGAGCTAAGTGCCACGAGAGCAAAGACAGCACATTTGGGTCAACAGGCTGCAGATGAAACCTCCAGCACTGTACCAGCGAGTAGCACCCATTACTGGCCGGATTATGGATCACCATAGGAACAAGGAGGTAGCGTGGGCAGCTTCCAAGGAGCCACTGCTGTTTACAGTAGCAAAATGGGGCAAATTTAGTGTCATGTAACATTCCTTGGTTTGTTTCGTGGCCTCTGAACTAGACCGTACTTCCTCCTCATTCCCCCAAAGGATGCATTTTTGCAGGTCATGATAACCATCATAGTGTAAGTGTTAAAAAAAGAAAAGAAAATCTAAGCTTCAACCTTTTGATATTGAGTAGTCCAACCCAAACTGAGAAGATGAACTGTAATGGAAGTAACTCTATAAATTCAGTCTGGCATTGTACGTCTGTTCCAATTTTTAAAATGGCCTGTGCTCTTAACTGGGATAACAGGCCATCCAGGAGGTGCCCCAATAAAGAAGATCCTGTTTGGTGACACATGCAAGACCTGGGAAGTGTGGAAACTTCAAAAGATTATTCTACTAAAATGTGCTGTATGCTGTGGGTCCAGAGATTAGTCAAAGTTTTGTCTCTGTATCTTTGTGAACTAGAGATTGCAATCTAGCTACATGGGGGAGGGTTACCGAGCTTCATCCAGGAACTAAAGTTAGTAGCAGTTGATTATTAAAGAGCCTACGATAGGTAAACAACTCTAGAGAAGAACGAACAAATTGCATATACAGTAACTCCTCACTTAACGTTGTAGTTATGTTCGTGAAAAATGCAACTTTAAGTGAAACGATGATAAATGAATCCAATTTTCCCATAAGATTTAATGTAAATGCGGGGGGGTTAGGTTCCAAGGAAATTTTTTTGTGGCAGACAAAAAGGTATTATATGCTGTACAGTACTGTACTGTGGTTGGGAAGTGCCCCTGGCTTACCCTACACAGGCACAGCCCACTGCAGGCAAGGGCGCTAGGAAGCACCTTCGCAGCAGCAGTGGCAGCTTTCCCGGAGAAGAACAGGTGCCAACTTTGACGGGGGATGCTCCAGGCCCGTCTCTTCCCGGCCCCACTCCATTCCAGGCCCACCTCTTCCCACCCCCACTCCACCTCCTCTCCGGTGCACACCGCATCCCTGCTTCTCCCCCTCCCTCCAAGCACTTCCCTGCCGCCAAACAGCTGTTTGATTGTGCTTAGGACTTTCTGGGAGGGAGGGGGAAGAGAGGAGACGCAGCGCGCCGCCAAACAGCTGTTTGGCGGCAGGGAAGAGCTGGGAGGGAGGGGGAGAAGGCGCAGAAGAGGAACTTGCGCAATGTTCCCTTGTAAAGTTGCTGCTCTTTCACAGAATCTTACAAGCAGTGGACAGAGCAGGCAGCCAAACAACGTTATAAGGGAGCATTGCACAACTTTAAACGAGCATGTTCCCTAATTGAGCAGCAACGTAACTTTGAAACAATGTTAAGCGAGAGGACGTTAAGCGAGGAGTTACTATATTTATTCAGGCTCGACTCAAGAGGCCCAGCAGACAGAGTTTGAATACAAAGAGTCAGCCTGAACTGGCTGAGTATTCCTCAAACTGACATGTAATTGTAACCAAGGGGGCAAAACCCTGCTGGATGGGTTTGAAGAACTGGAAACTTACCCATCACATGGAAATCCTAGTAACACCTTGTAAGCTTATTATGCATATAGACTGTTTATTGTTTTTTGGTATGTTAACTCTGTAATGCTTTTGTCCTAAAAATAATTGTACTGTGTCTGTGATAGCTGGCTGGTCATTGAGAGCATGAACTACAGGTGCTGGATTCAGCTCAGATGTGCTGGGACAATCACAGTAAACTGCAGGAGGACTGAAAGCCTAAATTCCTGGTTTAGAGGCCCAGATCTAAAGGGGCATCACCCACTGAGGCGCGATGGCTGGAGTACTAAGATATAAAGAGGCACCCTTGAGCAGATGATAAAGGGAGAACCATGACACTTTTTACTGACTTTTTTCTGGTCTTAAACAGGGAGTAGAGATTACATCCTTGTCCTGGATAATTCATTACCTCCTTGAGTTTAGGTGGGGGTTTTGATGTCTGCCCTTGGAGACCCATTTGCTGCCCTCGGGAAGCAATACAAGATTTACGATTGGACTGTAACACACTCTACACTGACTTTGTCCTCACAGGTCATTAGGATTTATTGCTGTCCTGTGACAGATAAAGCGAAAGAAGAAAACTAGATTCAGGGACTTGCTCCCATCACCCTGGTATAGAATAGCCCTAATCTGTTAACTGTCAGGCACACTACAAGTCTCATCTATTTTCTCAGGTTTTCAGTGAGCTGCAAGTTATGGTCTAACTGATTATTTGATTTAAATGTTGTGGATTGGAGTAAGTATGGATAGGTTAACTAGCTGAATGGGATTAATTTCTTTATTTTTAAATATCTATGCAAGTGCCTAGAGCAGGGGTAGGCAACCTATGGCACTCGTGCCAAAGGCAGCACGCGAGCTGATTTTCAGTGGCACTCACACTGCCCGGGTCCTGGCCATCAGTCCAGGGGGCTCTGCATTTTAATTTAATTTTAAATGAAGCTTCTTAAACATTTTATTGTTGTATGTAAAGTAAATAAGGTTTTTAGTTTAGTTATATATTATAGACTTATAGAAAGAGACCTTCTAAAAACGTTAAAACGTATTACTGGCACGCGAAACCTTAAATTAGAGTGAATAAATGAAGACTTGGCACAGCACTTCTGAAAGGTTGCCGACCCCTGGCCTGGAGCTTTAGGATAGAGGATTTCAAATATGAATTTAGAAGAAAAGAATCAAGTTTTGCAATTTACAAATGATGCTAAAATAGTGTTGAAAATTTATTCAAGAAACTGTGAAAGATATGGATTAATGAAATTCAAGAAGTTCCCTATAAAATCAGATTCAGGTAATCTAACAGAGAAATTACTAACTATGCTTATAAAAGAAATATTGATATTCTGTAGAAAGTATTTTTGGAGTAGACTTCATAGAAGAAGGTGTAGATAAACCTGAGATCATGCATGAAATTTAATATTAATTTTCCAGTTTATGGTGGAAATATGTGTATAGTGTTTTCACCAGGCATTGGTCAATCAATAAATTACTTGCTTCCTTCTACCCAAGGTTCTTCCAAGGTTGTAGCTCCAGTAAGGTGAAGAATGATGGTGAATAAAGATTCAGACATCTAAATTCAGGGCAACTAAAAAAACCCACCCCCATGCACACCACCTTGGGGGATTAGTTATGATGATGGGATCATCTCTCATTGTTTCATCATCTGAAACGTACAAAGCACCAATCAAGAACACAGAAGAATTAAAAAAAAAAAAAATTACCTGTTTGTCATGCGACATAAAGTCATCTGTTTCCAAAGTTCTATAGTTGTACAGCTTTCCTGACAGCAACACAGCAAACTTACAGTACCGATGCAGTTCACAAGCTTGACAGGATCTATTTATTGGAGTCTTCATTACTATGCGGACTTCAGGGTAACAATCCACTCGCTCCTACAAAGATATATTACATAAAACTCTTCAACAGGATATCCCCTAAACCAAGACAAAAACTCTTGACTACGTGAGGTGCTGAGTGACCTCAACTCCAATGTCTTAGGGGCACTAACCAACCCCATTCATATTTCCATTTATTTCACTGTATTTGATCCTATTTCAATTATTCTCCTCATTCACATGCATGAGACTGAATTATTTCACACTGATTTCGTATTCTAAGTCATGTGAACTACATTATGAATTTCTTGGAAGATATAAAATTTTTGTACTGGTTTGTTTCTTTAAAAGAAATCTGCAAACATTTATTGTGACAGTGTAACTGTCAAAAGATGCTCTTTGAAGTGCATGTGTGGGGCATTTACCAAGTCTGTGGGGCAATCATTAATACATCTTTCAGGGCAGAATCTAGCTAGAAATACAGGAAAGCAGCCATGATGTATTTACACACTACCCCTGAATATTCAGATGTGTATTATCATGTAGTTTGTGCAACTAACTACTGGATACACATACAAGAATCACAGCTACTTAAGATCATGCCCCAAGATCATGCCCCAAAATATGGAAAGACAAATAGTTATTAGGATTTGTATTTTCAGTTAGGAGTAGAGTGTATGAAATTTTTTTTTTATTTTTTTATTTTTTTACACCTGGAGCTACTTTATTGACCAAGACAGAAGCTAGATACCTTATATCGTTCTTTCCAGCGACTTCTAGAGATTAAGTTTTCAAGACGAGGTTGAATAAAGCGATCATCCAAATAATGGAGTGAGGTTACCATTTCTTGTGCATATCTCTTTCGCCTTGTTCCATCTGTTCAAAAAAAAAAAAAAGAAAAAAAAGAAAAAAAAAAATATAAAAAAAATTAAATAAAAAATAAAAAAAAAAAAAAAAAAAAAAAAAAAAAAAGTCACTATAATACAATATATGGATGTTCAGTGAATGTATGTTTTTCTTCCAGCTACAAAATCTTCAGGGAGATGAGGAGACTACACACAATTATATGTATATAATTATTTACTGATTGAAGAACGGTAACCTCAATGATTATTAGGGATATTCACAATAAAATCTGTTGTCCAGGAAAGCTACACAAATCATTAAAATTAACTTTGATATATTCATAAAGACACCTGTCCTCAGCAGGTGCTGCACAATAATAAAAAGTAGAATAGAAATAAAAACTCAAAATATGAATGAACTGCCCAATCAAAGATCATTCAATCTGAGAACAGTTAATCTCAAAATATAACCACTCACACTTATCAAAAGTCTGAAAAAACAGATGCTCCTGTTCTTTTCCCTACAATGTTTGTAATATAATTGCTTAATGAACTATATTTATACAGACCCGTTAAGTTAATTCTGAGACAAAAAGTTATGTGAAGAGGGAGTTAAGGTTGGGAGTACATGATAGTAACATTACAGTATTGTAATTAACCCCAAAACATTTATTACAAACCAAGGAAATCAGAATATTACATAAAAAAGAAGTTCAAATACATTAAACATATAAACAATCTCAACTTTCCATTCTTAGCGATGTCACACTAAAATGCACTAATCATTATTCTATCTGGTCACAGATTAGATTACAATGGATTTTTAAAACATATAGGTTCTCCCCCTTCTCCTGCTCAATGATAACATCACAGAACAAATTAAAGTTGGATACACTGGTCTATATAATCATATCTTTACTGATTGTTTTGCCTAATTATCTTAATTACAACTAATTTCCTCAAACGTAGCATATGTGCAAAATTTCAGTAAGTTTTAACTATGTGGAAAGTTTGAAGAAATAGTGCCTGTTAAGTCAATTATTAAAATAGTCAGGACAAAGTGTGACACTGTGCTAAAATGGCTCATTTAAAAAATATTTTTAACTCAAACTAATTAATAGATTTACTTGTAAGTCCTCTTTGGAAGATGTTGTGTGTGACGAATATAGAGTAATTCAAAGATTCATAGATTCCGAAGCCAAAAGGGACTACACTGTGATCATCCAGTCTGACCTCCCGTATAGCACAGGTCACAGACCTTTCCCAAAGTAATTCCTTGAGCATATCTTTTACAAAAACATCCCATTTAGATTTAAAAGTGGTCAGTGATGTAAACTGTTCTAATAGTTAAATTATTCTCAGTTAAAAATTTGCACCTTAATTCCAGTCTGCATTTGATCATGTTATACCTTTCTTTACTAAACTGAAGAGATAATTATTAAATATGTGTTCCTGAGGCAGATTGTAGTCAAGTTACCCCTTAACTTTTTCTCTGTTAAACTAAACAGACTGACTACCCTGAGTCTACATCACCGTAAGGCATGATTTCTAATCCTTTCATCATTCTTGTGGCTCTTCTTTGAACCCTCTTCAATTTATCAACATCCTTCTTGAATTGTGAATGCCACAATTGGACACAATATTCCAGCAGCAGTTGCACCAGTGCCAAATATAGAGATAAAATAAATTCTCTGATTCTAACTCAAGAGTCTCCTGTCTATGCATCCAAGGACTGCATTAGACCTTTTGGCCACAGCATTGCCCAGGGAGCTCCTGTTCAGCTGGTTATCCACCACAACCCCCAAGTCTTTTTCAGAGTAATTGCTTTCCAGGATAGACTCCTTCATCCTGTAAGCATGGCCTACAGTCTTTGTTCCTAGACGTATAAATTCACAGTTAGCCATATTGAAGTCCATATTGTTTGCTTGCACCTAGCTTACCAAGCGATCCAGATTGCTCTGTATCAGTGATCTGTCCTCTGTTATTTACCACTCCTCCAGTTTTTGTGTCAACTGCAAACCTGATGAGTGATTTTGTGTTTTCTTCCAGATCATTGATACAGATCTTAAATAGCACAAGGCCAAGAACCAGTACCTACAGGACCCTACAGTACATCTACTTGATGATGACTCCCTGTTTATAATTACATTTTGAAGCAGTTTTTAATCCATTTAATGTATGCCATGTTAATTTTATATTGTTCTAGCTTTGTAATCTAAATGTCATGCAGTCAAGTATCAAGTCAAAACCTTACAGAAGTATATAACAACAGTATTACTTTGCCCAACCAAACTTGTACTCTTATCCAAAGAAGATGTCAAGTTAGTTTGACACGAACTATTTTCCATAAATCCATGTTGAGTGGAATTATATTTAAATATAATTCTTTATTAATCAAGCCTCATATCAGCCGAATCAAAGGACAAATCCCTGATACAGAGAGGAACTCATCCAGATTTCAAAATACTTTCCAAACCTTAAAGAATTAAGCCCTACAGCACTCTTTTTAGGGTTTGTCCAAAGTGACTTTGTACAGCGCACTAGCCTGCTGCACACACTCACACCCTGGCTCCACTGTGATGCACAAAACTCCACCAAATCCTGTAGGAACCTAAACTCAATCGGTGTCTAAGTTTTCCCTAGATGCCCATGTTTCCCCCTCTGAGCATGCGCACAGCTGCCTCCCTCAGCTTCTAGATATTTATCTCCCAGCGTAAGCATAAGGGCGATTCACAAACAGGGAAAGACAGATATTGGTCCACTTAAGTCATATGTGGGGCCCTAAAAGTTAGGCATTGCAACGCTGAGCATCATGGCACCTAAGGGCAGTCTACACTTCAATGCAGCTGTGCCACTGTAATGCTGTAATGAAGACACTTTAAGCCGACCGGATAGCTCTTCTGTCGGTTTAGTTAATCCACCTCCGTGCGAGGCGGTAGCTATGTTGGCAGGAGAAGCTCACCAGCTCTTAGGTCAGTACAACTACGTCGCTCGGGGCATGAATAATCCATGCCCCCGAGCGACGTAGTTATACTGAAGTAATTCTGTAGTGTAGACCAGGGCTAAGTCCCTTCGTGGATCCCACCCAGAGGCTTTGTCTACACTGACAACTGAATGACAAAACTTGTGTCAGCGTTAAAAAAAGGTGTTAAAAAAAAATAAACAAAAAAAAACCCCCACACCCGAAAGAAAAGTTTTGTGTATGAAAAGCCAGTGTGAACAGTGCTTTGTCGGCAGGAGCGCTCTCCTGCCGGCAAACAGCGGCTACACTGCATGTCTTTTAGCAGCACGGCTGTGTCGCTAAAAGGTGCGTAGTGTAGACAAAGCCTAAATCTCTACACAACCAAACCCTTAGATTATTCTCCGCACTTCGCAGATGGAATAAACTGAAGCAGAGAAAGGTTAAGTGATTTGCCTAAAGCCACACAAGCAAGTCAGTGGCAGAACTGGGACCAGAAAAGACGATTACTCACCTTTGTAACTGTTCTTCGAGATGTGTTGCTCATATCTATTCCAATTAGGTGTGCGTGCGCCACGTGCACGATCGTCAGAAGATTTTTACCCTAGCAACTCTCGGTGGGTGGGCTGAGGCGCCCCCTGGAGTGGCGCCCTTATGGCGCCGGATATATGCCCCTGCCGACCCAGCGCCCCCTCAGTTCCTTCTTGCCGGCTACTCCGACAGTGGGGAAGGAGGGTGGGTTTGGAATGGATATGAGCAACACATCTCGAAGAACAGTTACAAAGGTGAGTAACCGTCTTTTCTTCTTCGAGTGCTTGCTCATATCGATTCCAATTAGGTGACTCACAAGCCTTACCTAGGCGGTGGGGTCGGAGTTAGATGTCGCGGAATGAAGGACCGCTGAACCGAATGCCGCATCATCCCTGGACTGCTGCACTATGGCATAGTGGGAGGCGAAAGTGTGCACGGATGACCAAGTCGCTGCCCTGCAGATCTCCTGTATGGGCACATGAGCCAGAAAGGCGGAGGACGAAGCTTGAGCCCGAGTGGAATGGGCAGTGAGTCGTGTAGCTGGGACACTAGTCAAGTCATAACATGCACGGATGCATGAGGTAATCCAAGACGAGATTCGCTGCGAAGAGACCGGGAGGCCTTTCATCCGGTGTGCCACCGCTACGAACAGTTGGGACGTCTTTCTGAATGGCTTCGTTCGTTCGATGTAAAAGGCAAGAGCCCTGCGGACGTCTAGGGAATGTAGCTGTTGTTCCCGTCGCGAAGCGTGCGGCTTCGGGAAGAAGACCGGGAGGAAGATGTCTTGGTTGACATGAAAGGCAGACACCACCTTAGGGAGGAAGGCGGGGTGTGGTCGCAGCTGTACCTTGTCCTTATGGAACACCATATACGGGGAGTCTGATGTGAGGGCCCGAAGTTCCGAGACTCGTCTCGCCGATGTGATAGCGATGAGGAAAGCTGTTTTCCAGGACAGGTACAGAAGTGAGCAGGTGGCTATCGGTTCGAAGGGGGCACCCATGAGTCTAGATAGGACTAGGTTGAGGTCCCACGTAGGGGCCGGATGATGAATTTGCAGGTACAGGTGTTCCAAACCCTTGAGGAACCTGCTGACCATGGGATTGGAAAAGACTGAGCGCCCGTTCTCGCCCGGGTGGAAGGCTGAAATCGCTGCTAGATGTACTCTGATAGATGAGACAGCTAGGCCTTGCTGTTTCAGGGACCACAGATAGTCTAGGATGGTAGGTACTGGCACCTCCAGAGGGATAGTATTACTCAGAGCACACCAGCACAAGAAGCGCTTCCATTTGGCCAGGTATGTGGACCTAGTGGAGGGCTTTCTGCTCCCCAAGAGCACTTGCTGCACGGAACTGGAGCAATGCCGCTCAGATTGAGTCAGCCATGCAGCATCCATGCTGTGAGGTGGAGGGACTGCAGGTCTGGATGACATAACCTGCCGTGTTCCTGAGTGATCAGGTCCGGCCACAATGGTAGAGGAATTGGTTCGGTCACCGACATCGAGGAGTGTGGTGAACCAGTGTTGTCTGGGCCATGCTGGAGTGATCAAGATTAAGCGGGCCTTGTCTCTGCGTAACTTCAGAAGGACCTTGTGGACCAACGGAAATGGAGGGAAGGCATAGAGCAGGTGGTCTTCCCACGGTATCAGGAAGGCATCCGACAGGGAGCCCAGGGAGTGACCCTGGAGAGAACAGAACACCTGGCACTTCCGATTCTCGTGAGAGGGGAAATCCCCACCTCCGGAAAACAGAATGGATAACGTCCGGACATATCGACCACTCGTGAGCAAGGAAGGACCTGCTGAGGCGATCTGCCAAGGTGTTCTGGACTCCTGAGAGAAACGACGCCACCAGGTCGATTGAGTGGGCTATGCAAATTTCCCAGAGATGTATGGCTTCCTGACAAAGGAGGGCCGACCGCGCTCCGCCTTGCTTGTTGATGTAAAACATGGCCGTTGTGTTGTCTGTGAAGATCATGACACAACGGCCCTTCAGATGTTCACAGAATACCTGACACGCTAGGCATACTGCTCTCAGTTACCTGACGTTGATGTGCAGGGATATTTCTTGTGCGGACCAAAGGCCATGTGTGCGAAGGTTCGCGAGGTGAGCGCCCCAGCCCAGAGAGGACGCATCCGTGGTGAGGACTAGAGAGGGCTGTGGGGCATGGAATGGCATCCCCCCGCAAACAAGGTGGGGTTTAGCCACCAACTCAGAGAGGACAAGACCTTCGTCGGCACCGTGAGTACTGTGTCCAAACTGTCCCGGCCTGGGCGGTATACTGACGAGAGCCAGATCTGAAGTGGCGGAGGCATAGTCTGGCATGTTTGGTCACGAAGGTGCATGAGGCCATATGGCCCAGAAGACTGAGGCACGTGCGTGCTGTCGAGGTTGGGAAGCTTCGGAGGGCGTGGATCATAGTCATCATGGACTGGAAGCGGGTCTGCGGTAGGCACGCCCTGGCGAGATTCGAGTCCAGGACTGCCCCGATGAAGTCGATTCTTTGGGTTGGCTCCAAAGTGGACTTTTCGGCGTTGAGCAGCAGGCCCAGTTGCCTGAAGCAGGTCATGACGAAGTGAACATGAGACCACACCTGTAGCTCGGACCGACTCCAAATGAGCCAGTCGTCGAGGTACGGAAACACTTGGATCTGATGTCTGCAGAGCCAGGCCGCTATGACAGCCATACATTTCGTGAAGACCCTTGGCACTGTGGAGAGGCCGAAGGGGAGGACCGCAAATTGGAAATGCTGCTGTCCGAGCACAAAACGAAGGAACTGCCTGTGCGGTGGGTAGATCGCTATGTGGAAGTACGCGTCCTTCATGTCAAGGGCGGCGTACCAGTCTCCAGGATCCAGGGATGGGATAATAGTACCCAGGGTAACCATGCGGAACTTCAACTTTACCATGAATTTGTTGAGTCCGCGTAGGTCCAGGATGGGCCGAAGCCCCCCCTTTGCCTTCGGGATTAGGAAGTAGCAGGAGTAAAAACCCCTGCCCCTCAAGTCTCTTGGTACCTCTTCCACCGCTCCAATAGACAGGACCGCTTGTAGCTCCTGCAAGAGGAGTTGCTCGTGAAAAGGGTCCCTGAAGAGGGACGGGGAGGGAGGGTGGGAAGGGGAGGGGATGAAAAACTGGAGATGATATCCAGTTTCCACCGTGCGTAGGACCCAGCGGTCCGACATTATGCGGGACCATGCAGGGAGGAAGGAGGAGAGGCGGTTGGAGAAAGGTAGGGAAGGATCCTGGGAGGAGACTGGTGCTCCGTCCTCGAGCGCAGCTTCAAAAGTTTTGTCTGGGCCCTGCTGATGGTCTAGGGGGCCCTTGATTCTGGCCTGCTTGTGGACCAGATTGTCGCCGCCTATTGCCATGACCACGCCTTACTGAGAAGTCCTGTCGTGGTCGAGGGTTAGGGTAAGTGCGCTGCGGCTGGGGTCGGAAGGGCCTCTGTTGTGTCACCGGGATATGCCTGCCCAAAGAGTGCATGGTGGCCCGGCTATCCTTCAGACTTTGCAGTCTGGGATCAGTTTTATCTGAAAAGAGCCCTTGCCCTCAAAAGGTAGGTCCTGAATAGTCTGCTGCAGTTCTGGTGGAAGGCCAGACACTTGCAGCCAAGAGATGCGTCGCACAGCTACTCCCGAGGCTAGAGTTCTAGCTGCCGAATCAGCTGCGTCTAAGGACGCCTGCAGGGATGTCCTTGCCACCTTCTTGCCCTCTTCGAGCAAGGCCCCAAATTCATCCCTGGACTCCTGGGGAACCAACTCCTTGAATTTCCCCATCGAGTTCCAGGCGTTATAGTTATAACGACTCAGGAGAGCCTGCTGGTTAGCTACCCTGAGCTGTAGGCCACCAGTTGAGTAGACTTAAGCCCGAACAGATCCAGGCGCCTAGGACTTAGGGGCAGGGACTTGTTGGCCATGCCTCTCCCTCTCGTTTACAGACTGTACAACGAGGGAGCAAGGTTGGGGGTGCACATACAAGTACTCATAATCTTTAGAGGGCACCATGTATTTCCTTTCCACCCCTCTGGATGTTGGAGGGATGGACAGTGGGGACTGCCAGATAATGTTGGCATTAGACTGAGTGGTCTTGATGAAGGGCAAAGCTACCCGCGTGGGGGCATCAGCCGACAAGATGTCCACCACCGGGTCCTCAACTTCCGCTACCTCCTCCACCTGCAGATTCATATTCTGTGCCACCCTACGAAGTAGGTCCTGGTGAGCACGAAGATCTATAGGTGGAGGGCCGGAGGAGGACGTGCCTGCCACTGCCTCGTCAGGCGAGGATGAGGAGGACAATCCCTGGACTAGTGGGTCCTGGGGAAGGTCAGGTTGAGGAGGGTCCGGTTGCACTAGGTCCACATCCGTAGGGGCATCAGCCTGTTGAGGCGGTAGGGCAGTCGTCTCAGAGGGTATTGGGGGAGGACGGCTAACAGTTGCCTCAGGCACCCGAGGCTCCGAATGAGCCGAGCAAGAAGCTCCTGAGGGACCACCTTGGGCTTGGTGGTATGCCCAGGGGGTCCAGAAGGACCATTGTGGGGGACCCTGGTCGGGATCCTGGCCTTCATCCGGTCCCTAGCTAGCGCCATCCGCATCCTGGCCTGGGACCTCATAGACACTCGCTGCTTGGGATGACGCCAAATTCTGACGAGAAGGCCAAGGCGGTGCCGAACGCACTTGTTGCGTTGAAGCGTCGCGGTCTACTGGTCCGCGCCTGGAAACTGGGGACCGGTGCCGGTGTCCCGAGAGGTACCGCGATTGGGAGCAGGACCGACGGTCATAACGGTGCCGGGAGGTCGATCTAGATCTAGACGAGGACCGATGGTGCAGGCGGTGCCGTGACCGGCTGCGCGACGAGCGGTGCCAGGATCAGTGCCAGGAGGTGGATCGGTACCAATCGTACCAGGAAGGAGACCTTCGGGAGGTGGAACGGTGCCGCGAGTACGAACGACGCCGAGATGGAGATCGGTGCCGGGACTGCGAGCGGCGCCTCGACCGGGACCATCTGCGGGACCGAGACTGTGACCGTGACCATGACCGTGATCGGTGCCGAGTTGTTTCACCCTGCGATGGAGGTCGCATGAAGGCGGGCTTCCCTATGGATGGGACAGTCCGCACCGGCGGTGCCGGAGGGTGAGACGGTCCAGGTTCAGTCAGAGCTATCAGGTCGCGAGCAGTGGAGAAGGTCTCTGGAGTGGACGGCAGGCGCAGCTCAACCACGGTGTGCACCGGGGAGCTTATCTGCACCAGACTCAATGGCGCTTGGGGCGCCGGAATCGACGGTGCCAGAGTTGGTGCCTTCATATGGTCCGGCATGGCATGCTGCTCCACTGAGGCCGCAGGCGGTGCTTGCAACTGCGAAGGAGCAGCAGGTGGTTTGTGCTGCTTCTTGGGCCGTGGGGACAGCGAGCGGTGCCGCGTCTGTACCGGTGCCGGAGACGTCCAGTGCCAAGGGACCTTGGTGGTGCTGGGTCGCTCCGGTGCCGGAGGCGTGCTTCGGACCGACGGTGCCTGGTCTGCGCGCTTCGGACCGACGGTGCCTGGTCTGCGCGCTGTGCCGAGGGCACTGGACTAAGTGCCGCCTCCATCAGGAGCTGTTTTAGATGGCAGTCCCGCTCCTTTTTTGTCCGAGGCTTGAAAGCCTTGCAAATGCGGCACTTATCAGGCTGATAAGATTCCCTCAGGCACTTCAAACAGGAGTCGTGGGGATCTCCAATAGGCATCGGCTTGAGACAGGCCGAGCAAGGTTTGAAACCCGGAGACTTGGGCATGAGCCCTGGTACCGGGCAGAGGAATGGGGATAAACCCCGTTTCCTCAACTTATATACACTATATCTACAAAATTCAATAAGAACTACTCTAAACTTACTAAACTGGTAAACTACACTAAAGAACTATCTATAATACAACGAGTAAGCTAGGGATGTGGAGGTCAGCTATGCCGCTCTCAACAGTTCCAACGACCATCATGGGCGGTAAGAAGGAATTGAGGGGGCGCTGGGTCGGCAGGGGCATATATCCGGTGCCATAAGGGCGCCACTCCAGGGGGCGCCTCAGCCGACTCACCGAGAGTTGCTAGGGTAAAAATCTTCCGACAATCGTGCACGCGGTGCGTGCACACCTAATTGGAATCGATATGAGCAAGCACTTGAATAAGAACCCAGGAATTCTAACGCCCAGATCCATACCAGCTGCCAAATATGACTTTCTTATGCATAAATACCATAATGTTTTACCCCACAGGCATTACATTTTCTGCCATGTAATGTTACTTACCATATAATGAGCTCAAAAAAGTGTCATCAATTGTGTTGATGAGGAAAGCTTTTACAACTCTTTGGAAGTGGACATAATGGTCACAGCGAGAGACTGGAAAAAATGCAACCAGATAAAGCAATTAACAGTGTAAAAAAGCCTCACAAGCAACAAATTCATATACAGACCATACATGTTTCATGCAAAATTTGATAAAGAGGTACCTAATCTCAAATACTATGAATACAATTTTTTAAAGCAATTTTTCAATTATTCAGTTTTTCAAAATTTCAATTCAAGATAATACAAAAACAGAGGACTTTTGAAGTTAAGATCTTTCATTTAAACAGTGCCTTTCATCCCAAACAATATCAAAGAACTTTACCATAGAAGCTATACACACACACACACACACACACACACACACACCCCCCCTTCCATTAGCTGATTATACTTTGGAGACAGGGGTGTAACACAAATTCTCTTTAACAGCACATGGCAATAACACAGAATAGTTAATGATAGAAAGCAAAGGATACTGTATCCAAGAGAAACTGCAGGAGGAACTTTAGGTAGCTACCCAAGAATAGTAATTACCTACAACAGAATTCAGCCAGAACATTAGGGTTAACATGGCTGATTTTGAAGAATGCAGCAAGAGTTTTAGGAACCACAAGAAGCAAGAAGTTTCGTGTCTTAATAGGAATTTGATACCCAACATCAGGGGCTGAATAATTTACCTCACATCTAACTGAAAATACATTTACAGCACCTTACCAACCCCCCCACCAAAAAAAAGGCCAAAAAAACCCAGTAAGATAAAAGAATAAAATGATTGAGTATTGTTATGGAAGCTACAATGCCTCCATAATAAGCTATAGCATTTTTGAATTTTAATTTTCTACTTTCAAGCTATCGTGCACTTTCGCACTATTTTGAGCTAATATAGACAAGTTCTAATAAACACCAAATCATGGGTTTACAAGCAAAGTATTCATATCAACTTGTGGCTTATTTTAACCTTACAGCGTGGAATGTAATATTCCAGTAATTGGAATTTTGATGTATCAAGTTCTTTCCCTTGTGGTTGGTTTTCATCCTCAGAATGTTCTGCACATTCTTCTTCATCCTCAACTATAAAGTCTTTCATACTATCATCATCATCAATGTCACTGCTTGCTGTTGGTGTGAGGGGTAAAGGATAGGATGATTCTTCTATTATTTCCGCATCATCATCATCAGAATCCTAAGTAAATTAAAAACATCTTAAAACAAACTATCATATGAATACTTCCCCTATGAAATTTTCAACATTTGCATTGCTTAGTAAAATATGCAATTTTGTGTGTAACACACACACACTCTTGGCCTTTGAATATTGCATGTTCAATTAACAAGAAAAGAGATTTCAATTGACTAACAGTCCAAACAAGAGAAAGTTTACTTTCACATGTAATTCATATAGATCTCTGTTCCTGTGTCTGTCTGTAGCAGTTTTCTTAGCTCTAGAAGTCTAAGCTATCTCAATTAGGTAGCATGTTCCTCCATTGAGGAAGTTTGGCAGCCCCCTCCAATGTCTCTGTCAAGTCCTTTTAAAGAAAAGGAATTTTAAAAGAAAATAAATTATGAGGAGGGGAAAAAAAAGGGAACGTATCCTTAACTATTTGGAGAAGATGGACAGATGAGTTCTAATGAGTTCAGTCTTCTGGCTGACTATGAGAACAAACACAAGGAGCTCTTCAGCCCTTGGCAATAAAAAAAAAAGAACCCAAAACTAAAGGCATCAGAGACAGTACTACTGCATAGTTGCAACATGCATCCGCTGAAAGTGTAGGGGATGAAGCTCTTGCAACTTTTGGGGAGCTCCCAACCTATCTTGAGAGTAAAATTCTGTGAGGTGATATGTATGAAAAAACAAAGTATTGAATTTCAAAGGTAAAAACATACCCCACAATATTTACTATTACCGGATGCCCGGGTTGATCTTTGTCTTGCGAGTTCTTTCAGTTTTATTAGCCGCTTCTGTTTCCCATTAGTCAAATCTTCTTCTGTAGTAGGGGTTTTATATTGCTCCTGTTCTTGAGAACACTCATCTTCATCCATTATACAATAACGTTTAGCAAATACTTTTCTAACAGGGATGTCACTATCATCACTCCTGTCACTGTCATACATTACAGATGTGCTCGACCTCTTACGCTTCCCTGGAGTGATGCAGTCATCCTCCACATCCTCTACGACTGTGTCATCATGGCCTTTCTCCTCATGATCTGAAAGATTATACCTCTTAACTACAGTTTCTTGTTTTTCAGCCACTTCGTCTTCTGATGTAGAGGAGAGTCGTTCATCTTCTGAAGCAGATGTGAGTTCTTCATCACTATCAAGCAATATGGTCTCTCTTTTAGTCCGCCTCCAATCAACCCGAGATTTGGATGCTGGTTCTTCTATTCTTGTATTCCTCCTTGTTTCATATCTTCTGATAACTGGTTTTGTTTCCATTGAAAAGCTACCACAATAATAAAAAACAAACTGTATTTACCAAAAAACCCAGAGTAGCTATGATACCAAGATATTCAAAACAGTATGCATTATTAAACTAATACATCTATGATTAATGGTCTATTGCATAGAGAAGCTCTCAGATAAAAGGGCTGAGAGTGCACAGCAATAATTTCATGGTACGACATACCTTATAATAATGTTATTGTTATCAAGAATTACACACACACACACACACACACACACCAGGCATTAGAAACAGAGGAAAGTGAAACCCACAAATAAAATGGAGAAAAAAATCCCATAATTTAAAAGTTTTAATTTAAATTTTACCTTTACATGTACAGTTAACATGTTTAATCAACCTTAACTCTACCCCTTAGTGATGTCCAGAGGAAGGGTGTGTGTAAAAAGAATAGAATAGGAAAATACGACAAGAGACACCTATCCATAACAGAACATCTCATTTCCTTGGTAACAAAAACACTAGAATGCTTTACTCTTACTGTGCAAACTCTGGCTTCTGTATGACCATTCATTCAGACAACCTTATGATGGTATCTCTGCATTATACCCAGCACAGTGACTGTTTGGCTGGGAGTTTCCTTAGTTTATTCCAAATTCACAACTCTTCAGCTCCTCAAACCCCCGCCTTGGGGTGAAACAGAGCAAGGGCTTTTCAGTCCTGAAGAACCGAGGCCAGGGCAGAAGGCAGCTGAGCAGGGGAGCTTAGCCGCCTGGGGCCAAAGGAGCCCTGGGATGCGGAGACTGCAAGGAACTGCACGGTAACTGGGGCGGCAGCTTTTGCAATGGGGGCCTCACCGGCTAAGGAGCTGAGCCCACCCGTCAGCCGATGCATCGCGGTGAGCATGGGGCCCTTCTGCCTGCCCGCCCCGCGGCTACTGCGCGGCGATAGGGGCAAAGCTCTCCCCGCGCTCAGCCCCTTTCCAGGCGGCCAGACCCGCCCCAGCCGCAGCGGCACCGAGGCGAGGCCAGTCGCCTCCGTCCGTCCCAGGGCGACGGCCTCTCCCCAGGACCGTCACGGGGGGACAATGCAGCTCGGACGCCTCAAACGGGCGGCCGGGCCTTACGTGACACCCTCCCCGCCCGCCCGCCCGCCCGGGGATGAGAGCAAGGCGGGAAGGCAGCGGGGCCCCGCAGGCGCGGCGGGGAGTTGCCGCGGAGCTAGATGTGCAGGGAGGGGAGGGGCGGCGCATCGCCACGGCCAGCGCCGGCCGGCGGCCACGCTAATAGCCCAGCCCGGGGCCCGCCCCAAGGAGCGCACCGCGCTGGCGGGCAAGTTTAACCGTCAGCGCCCCCCGCGGAGCCAGTACCTCCGGGGGGGCTTTCTCGCGGCAGCCCAGTCAGGACACCTCCCGCCTCCCCGAGGGGAGGGGGTCAGACAGTGCCCCTCCCCCCCCCGTTACGCACATGTAAAGGCTCCGGCCGCGCGCACCCCAGGAATCCCCGCGCCGAGTACCGATGTTCCCCCAGCGCAGCCCCCAGACCCTCCCACCTTCAAGTTCAGCGGCCTCGCAGGCAGTGATTGGCGCGTCCCGCCTGTCACTCACTCCCACTCTGTGTTGACGGAAGTGCTGGGAGGCAGTTGGAATGGGGTCACGTGCCCTGGCATGCTGCCTGCCTGGGCCAGCGGCCTGGGGCGGAGGTTGAGGTTTAGGATGATGTCACTTCCGGGGTGGGAACGGTTTCCCTCCTACGCAGAAAGGCCCCACGGTGTTGGTTTGGATGGAAGAGGCTCCTGGCCTGGCTGTGACTGGCATTGGGTTGGGCTGGGCAGGGCGTGGGGGGAAGAGAGAGAGAGAGAGCGCTAGTACCTGGGGGACCAATACTAGAGCCAGGACCCTCTTGGCTCCAGCTGGGGGGCAGGCTGCTGGAGCCAACCTTGCCCAGTGGGGGGTAGGGAATCAGCACATCTTTGACTGGCCAAGGCAGTGGAAAAAGACCTGGGCGTGTGCAGGCCTGACCTGGAAGAGGCATGGTGACCTAAAGGAGACAGTGGGCAGGGGGCTGCAGCGCCCTCAGTTGGCCCTCTACGCACATCAACCCAGGGACTATGAGGAGAATTGCAGGCAGAATATGCTTCACTTGATGGAAAGGTAAAGTAGTGGGTGTGCTGCTGCCTGCATCAGAGTCCACTGGAGGCCAGGGTCCTGACCTGGCTCCGCATCTTACCGGGGCTGTGCCTAAATTTATCCACCCAAGGTTCTTTCCCTGGCTGTACCACAGACTTCCTCTGTGGACTTTGACAAGTCATTTTGAAAGTGTAGGCTCGATTCTCCATCTCCCTGAACTGTATATCATCATTTATACCAGTGCTAAGTGGGTGTAAATGCTAGTATTGTGTTTTTGGGAGTGTTTTACACCCACTTTACACCACACAGGAAGGGCAATGCAGCCCTTTGGCTCAGTTACCCATGCCAAAGGAATACTGGAACTTTTTTCAATTGATTGAGGATTTTATTTTGGCTTTAAAGAGTAGTTTAGGCCATTTTGTAGGCTGTTGACAAGTATTCTCTATTGTCATGCCCTTCCCCTTCCCCTCACCCCCCTGCTTTATTGACAGAATTGCATTTATTTTGCAGATAGTAAAGATTTGACTATTACTGCCCTTGCCACTGTAAAAATCTACTGCAGTTTCACATTTTGTGGTGTAGTGTAATCAGTGGATAACAGAGAGATGTAAAGAATCATTAAATATTTTACAAATATTTCAGAAGAGAGAGATGATGTTTTCTGTATCACGCAGTAAGGCCTATTAATATTTTCAGAACAAGTTTATGTTGTCAATGATACTTAGCTGTCAAAATTTGAAACCTTCCCTTATGCTGTGTTTTACTATTTAGTTTTGTGTCACAAGGTGGATCAAAATCAGCCTTGTAAAAGGACCACAGCCCAGCTCCTCAAATGTTTTTAAGCTTATGCTCAAATAAATTTGTTAGTCTCTAAGGTGCCACAAGTACTCCTGTTCTTTTTGCAGATACAGACTAACACGGCTGCTACTCTGAAACCTGTTTTTAAGAGCCTAACTCCTATGGAAGTCAATGCTTTGTTTTGGGGATCTGCACCCAGTTTCATATCTCAACTATTTATAAATTCACAGTGATAAGGCCAGAATATATCCTTAGGTCACCTAGTCTGATCTCCTGTATATTACAAGACATTAAATTTCACCAAGTTACGCCAGTACTGAGCCCAATAACCTGTGTTTGACTAAAGCATATCTTCCAGGAAGGCATCCAGTCTTGATCGGAAAACATGAAGAGATGGAAAAATCCATCACATGTCTTAGTAGTTTGTTCTAATCGTTATCATTCTCAGCTATGGGACCTGATGTTCAGAAGTGCTGAGCATCCACAGTGCTCATTGATGTCAATGCTCAGTACCCCAAAAAAGTCACTTCTATAGTGCTTAATTCTGTTCCTGTTCAGCTAATGGCAAAAATCCCTCATTGACTTCTGTTAGCAGGATTGGTCCCAAACTACTAGGAATGGAAATATTAATAACAATTTTGTTTAGTTTTACAATACATTAACTTAAATTGGTGTATGTATTTCTAAGTAGATTTAATCACATGAAGAGTTTGAAGGGGGAGTAGCAAGCTGTGTTTGAGTTACAGGTCATTAAAAAAACCACTGTCCTGATTTGAGATGGTCTTTTTTTCTATTGTTTTTGTCTCCGTCTAGCTTAAATATAATTTGAATTTTATTCAACCTTTGTACAAACAAAACAAAATCAAAACATTTTCCTTTGCCGTCAGAGCAAACCTGACAATTCTAGTTTTCCAGCCCATATAATTTTGGGTTGGAAATCAAATCTTTACAGAGGAAGCTAGTTGCAGCCCTACTGTGGAGTAGCTATAGCCGCTCCATAATATTGCACATCTGGTGGTGATATCCATGTGATAAATTGCATTTTTCATGCACTTTTGACCACTTAAGCTGCACTCTGCTAAGTATTCTATCCTCCTTGGGACTTATTCAAAACAGTTGTAACCTCCCACAAAAATGTTTCTTTTGGGATAATCTCCATAAGTCATGGCTTTGCCGCTTGTAAGCAATTTGGCTATTCTCAATGCATGCCATACTCTATATTTAATGCTAGTCCTACTCCGAAAGTCAATACAGCAGGGCAGTATTTAGATATACACTAGATATATATAAATAGTCTGTTTACACACATACCTAGAAGAATATATATTTTTGGACCAAGATTAGCATTTTATAGTATGGAAACCATCAAGTTGTTTGTTGGGTAGGAATTGAGACTTCATGACCTATTGTTCTTTAGCTGGAACAAATATTACAGTTGCACTGATCTAAGGTGTATTGATAAATATTGAATCTTGTTTTCAATTTTATTTTCAGGTGTAATTGTTATGTAGACATCTGTGATAAATAAAAGGGGGGATAGCTCCCTTTGATGGACAGCCAGTTAGCTGTAAAATCCCTCTTGGTCGCTGTTCTTTACTTGCTTTATCTGTAAAGGGTTAAAAAGTCCCCCGGGTTTAAAAAAAGAAAAAGAAAAAAAGTGGGCACCTGACCAAAAGAGCCAGTGGAAAGGTAGAACTTTTTAAAATTGGGAAAGAACCTTTGCCTTTGTCTATTGTTCTCTGGGCTGGAGGGACAGAGCAGCCATGCTATAAGCAGCTTAAGCCAGGTATGATCATAAATGATCAGATCATGTCTAGAACTACTTATCTGAACTCCAAATGTGTAAGTAAATCAGAATGTTTAGCTAGACACGATTAGGATTATTTCTTTTAGTTCTTATTGGCTTGTGGACTCCTCTGTGCTAACCCCAGATGCTTTTGTTTGCTTGTAACCTTTAAGCTGAACCCCCAAGAAAGCTATTTTAGGAGCTTGCTTTTTGGAATTGCTCTTTTAAAATCTAGCAAAAGCCTAAATTCCAGATGTATTTTCTTTTTTTTTGTTTTTAATAAAATTTACCTTTTTTAAGAACAGAATTGGATTTTTGGTGTCCTAAGAGGTTTGTGCATGTTGTTTGATTAGCTGGTAGCCACAGTTAATTTCCTCTGTTTTCTTTCTCAGCTCTTCCCCGTGTGTGTGGGTGGGAGGGGGTTGAAAGGGCTTGAGGGTACCCCACAGGGAGGAATTCCCAAGTGCTCCTTCCTGGTTTCAAATGGGGGTTTTTGCATTTGGGTGAGGGCAGTGTTTACCATGCCAAGCTCAGAGAAAAGCTGTAACCTTGGGAGTTTAATACAAGACGGGAGTGGTAAGTATTAATTTTTAAAATCCTTGCAGGCCCCACTTCTGCACTCGGAGTGACAGAGTTGGGATTCAACCTTGACAACATCCATTAGACATCCTTTTTTCCTGGACAGATATATTCTTTTGAGAAAGCTATAAACAGTTCAAATCAAAAGTTATCCAACGTGGTGGATAACATGTCTGTCTTTACTATCTGGAAGTTGCAATTGATTCTGGTTGAGGTTCAACATTTATTTTAAAAAATGATACTCATCACAGAATTGTTTTCCCTCTGCTTGGTCTGCAATAGCACAACAGATACTGGTCCTACAGAACAGCCTATTCCTATTGACATTACTATTGCAGCAAGGTCTTATTCACATGCAGACCTTTCTGTATATTATTGGAAAAATAGGTGATAATAATCACAATGGTAGGAAATAATATGAACTAAACGGCCAAACCTTGTCCATCTTATTTGCACAGTAATATCATTGTTCATTGTGGAAAGCATATGAAATCAAAGGGTGGAAAGGAGTTGCTTTAGGTGGTTGGCTGCATTCCTGTTTGAAAT